CAGAGGAGGATGTGGCGCTTGTCTGGGCGTGGGGGGAAAACGTTCGACTTGACGCCTCGATCATCACATGGTTTTCAGGGGGAAGTAAAGAGGGAGTGGGAAAGAAAAAGATGCTTTATGAAGCCTTTGTGTGCCAAAAAGTAAAAAAGGAAAAAAAAAACTGAGCGCAACTAGCCAGCCTGCAGAACCTGAGCTTCCTCGTTTATTTGCTTCATTTACCTTAGTTCGATCTGTGAGCACAAGGAGAGTGCAGACGGTAGGAGTGTCGTGTTGACTGCTTCCTTCCCCCTTTCATTCTTTCTTTCTCTCTCCCGCATCCTTCCTTCTTCCTCAGTCGCGGGGTAGATTGAGGAATACAGAGGTACAAAGCATGAAACACAAAAGGAAGTAGAACTGTTGCAATCATGTGTGCTGAGACGGTAATGGGCTTCGTATTTTGTTTGCCCTTTGATTTGGACCTTGCGATTTACTCTCACTCCAGCACGGGTCTTAAGAGCACGGGGCCCCAGTTTTACTCTCCACCGCGGGAGCACCACCGCGAGAGGAAAGATAGTGCGGCTAACACAGACCACGTGACGCCACCGTTCCTGTGGTTGTTCGCCATTTGCTCCGCCTCACGGGGAGGCGCACACCGGGGCGGTGCCATCATGGGGTCCCCTACGGTTGGTTCATCGCACACGCCGTGAACGCTGCCGCTCTCCGCGGCATCTGCAGTCAAGCCAGTGCTGTTGACGCCCTTGTACCGCCTTCGTCGCCGTGTATCACGCGCCGACAGCATGGGGATTCCCTCACCCAGCATGGGTTTCATGCAGACAGGGCATATGGACGCCCGCTGCCTCCAACTCTCCAGACACTGCAGGTGAAAGCCATGCCCACACACAAAAACGATTGCAGGGTTGTCTAGCGTGAATCGCTCCAAGCAAATGGGGCAAGATGACAAGTGGTACTCGCCCACTACAAAAGTATCCTCGCACTTGTCAGTCTTCCCCGGGTCGCCGCAGCTAGAAAAACTGCCAGCGTTAGACGCAAGTCCCTTGGGAGATGAGAGAGAGTCGGAACTTGGGAGGCATGCCAAGGGCTTCTCCTTTTCGGGCGGATCCATGGGCGTTGGCAGGGCGCGCTAATGCTTTCCCCGCCTTTTTTCTCACCCCCTTCGTGTGTTCTCTTTCGGTGTTGCTAGTGGCGACTGTCTGGGCCCTGTTTGGCCGAACGTTCCCTGTGGATGTGTGCCTTGCTTCTCCTCCGCGCCCACGTGGGCCGGGAGGAGTTACTACTACTGCGCTTCACGGGACCGCGGAGGTGTGCGCGCCTTCCCACACACACGACCCTCCAGCCGCCCCAAAGCAAAAACGAAAAACAAAAACAAAAAAAAATCTTCCACGGCGCCAAGAGAAGCTGCGCGGGTGTCGAAAAGAAAGGGAGTGTGCAGTGAAAGGGCGACGAAGAAGTAAGTCCCCCCTCCCTCCCCCCAGACGCAGCGACGCAGCGACAAAACAAATGTAGGCGGTGCGTAAAGTGCAAGGGGGTCAAAACATGACAGAAAAGAGGTGGATAGAAAAACGGCGCAATCGTCACGCCTCTCGCTCTTTCCCCACTTCGTCCCCACGGCTGCCGCCGCTGCTGCCGTTGTTGTTGTTGCCGTGCACGAACCGGCCGGGGAATAAAAGCCGCTTCACTACCGTCGGTGCGAGGCGCTTTGGGTCGGTGTCCACCGGGATCCCCTCCAGGCGCTGGCGCTCCTCCTCCTTCTCCTGCGCCACCATGAAGGCGTAGAACTCGGGGTCAAAAAAGCGCAGCGCCAGCTCGAGAAACTGACGCACCACAACAATCGAGAAGACAACCCCCACAGCGCCCATCACGGCGTAGGAGAAGAGAGCGAACAGCGTGACACGATCCACCCGCCGCGTGAGGCCCTTCGAGGTGCTCAGGAGGCTACGGTAAAGCGCGGGGGCGGACCCATTTTGATGCCACAAGCTCGTCGGCGTGGTCGCCATCTTGTACGCCGTCTGAATCATCTCGTACTCCGCCTTTGCCTCTCCCGCCGCCGTGTCGGGGTGCGTGGCAAAGACGAGATCCCGGTAGCGTGAGCGGACCTCCGTCAGCTCTGCGTGCTCCGGCAGCCCCATCACGCGCAGCGGGGAGCCGTGCCGCCGCAACCACAACTGTTCCCGCTCCAACTCCTGCACCCGCTCCATGCCGGCCTGAAGGTTTATTGCCAAGCTTCTATGGAGACTACGCGGAGTGACGGTAACGTACAAGCGGCGAAACAGCCGGGCAAGACGGCCAGGGCGGTAACTGTGATGCTCGCCCGTCGTCGCCCGCCGCAGCGAAGTCAATGTGCATGAGGCAGAAATCCTCACGCGGCCGGCGCCACCCCGCAGCGCGGGCATTTCTTACTACTGAGCCTCCTAAAGCGGCGCTGTGGGGTGGCGGCACACGTCACAGATGCGAAAGAAAAAGTAAGTTAGCGGCATGGCGCCGTGCCGTTAATAGTTGCACCCGGCCAAGTATGTAAACCTCTTCGCCCAGTGCAGAGCAGTAGCAACAGGTTAGCCACGCATCCACGCACGCGCACATACACGCAGAGGAAGAAAGAGAGGGAAGTAGGACAAATAATATATATATATATATATATATATATATATGTTTTTACGTGTGTGCGTGCCAAAGAGTGAGAGTGCCCTGTCGAGAGATGTTTTTATGCGAATTTAAGTACAAAAGCAAACAAACGGGAAACAGACTAAAGAGCGTAAAAACGACACAACACTGCCCGAGAGTCAAACTTGCTGCCGTGCAATTCACTAACAACCCTGGCGGCCTTTGCTTCTGAGGAAAATGTACACACGAAGGCAACATGGTCATCAAAAGGCACATCCGCACCCTGCTCAAGTCGTGGCCTCTTCTTTGACCTCGCCTGGTCCTCGCCTGCGCCGTCGCCGCCGCCGCCGTCGCCTTGCGCGTCTTTTTCCTTTTCCTGCACCTTCCCGGCGTTGTCGCCCCTGGCGTCGCGGCTGCCGTCTTCGTCGTCCACCAGAATCGTGTGCTGCGCCACCTTCTCCTTCGCGATCTCCTCCACCTTCTCCAGCACCGCCGTCACCAGCCCCTGCAGCGCACCTTCCGCCAGCAGCTGCCGGTAGGCCTCGAGGGAGACGACGTTGGTGATAAGCACGTGCGGCGACGGTGCCCCGGCGGCGTTCAGGTTGCCAGATTCCAGTAGCCGCTTTCGCTTCTTGTAGAGCGCCTTCTCCCTCTTCCGCTGCTCCCACCGCTTCTCGATGTCGCTCACGATAAACCGCACAATGTCCTCCACGGCCAGGTGCTGCAAAGGCACCTCCTTCAGGACGCGGTTCATCCAAAAGCCGGCCACGGCGTCCCACTGCTTCTCAAAGAAGTGATGATTCGGACGTCCCTTCACGCTCTCGGGTATTTGAAGTTCCTGCCGGGTAAACTGCAGCCGCTTGCCCGTGCTCCCCCAAATCACCAGCGCAGAGGAGGCGGATGCTTCCATTGCCCTAACTTACCTCTCTCTCTCTCTCTCTCTCTCTGGGTGTGTGTGCGTATAATATATATGTGCGCCTGTGTGCCCGTACGGGAGATAATGAAAATTAGTTCCTTTTTTTTTGCTGCTTGTGCGCGCAGCGAGCGGAGCGCGGCGCCTCCTCCTCCTTCTCACTCTTCTAAGCCACCAAAAAAGAGGCGAATGTATACAGGAAAGTTGTGTCTCACACACATCGATGCCGTTGATGCCTTGACAAGGACGTTTTCTGCCCTCCGCTTCATCATATCCTTTGATATATATATTTTTTCTTCTTCTTCTGCTGTTTGATACATAAAAAAAAAATAAGGTATGCAACTCCAAAGGCTGCGCTGTTTCCATCACTGCCTCTCTGCGTGTCGGTCTGCCCGAGAGTCCGTCGTCTTTTGTTGTTGTTGTTGTTGTTGTTTTTCCTTTCTTCTCTTAGGTAGACTAGTTTTCCTTACTTTTTCACACGCCCAAGGTGGCATAAACACATGCGATCTCTTCTGTTCATCATTTGGCCTTTTATTGCTGGTGTAATTCCCCTCCGACTCCCTCGGCGACTGCGCAGTTGCGTCCCCGCCTGCGACGCACGGAGGGACTTGGCTGCGAGTAAACGGCATGTGCGTGCCGGTTACTTCTCCAAGCGGCGTTTCGCAGGAGAGATGGGTGGGAGGCGCGGCGCGGACGGATGCGAGGAGCGCAGGCGGGAGAAGGAGGAGTGCACCAGCCCAAGCTGCTGCCGCGGGCTGGGGACCCGGAAGTTCTTCAGCTGCGTGGAGCTGTTGGGCTCCAGGGTGCGCGCCACGGGAGTCAACTGGGGGGTGAGGGCGGCGGCGGGGGACGCGCCAGACTTCTCCTTGAGGGCGGCGGCTATCTGCGAGAGAGTCTCGGCGGTGATGAACGTCCCGTCCAGCCCCAAGTGAAGCAGCTTCGACTGCGGGCTCCGCGCAATGCGCAGCAGTGCGCGACCGGCGAGCGCCGGAACAGGGTTGAAGGACAAGTTCAGCGAGAGCAGTGTTGGGTGTTGGCTGACCGTCTTTGCCAACTGCTGGAACACAGTGAGACTATCGATGTTGTTGTTGCTCACGTCAAGTGCCTCGATGGTGCGGCTGGCCTCCACCATGGGCAGCAAAAGGCTCACCCCGCGCGGGCACTTCGCAAACACGCCACTGCAGTCAAGCGTGGGGGAGGGCGGCTCATACACCCCTGACACCGCAAAACGAAAGTTGCGCAATATTGTACAGGCACCACAGGCATTCCGCTCCAGCATGCGACAGTAGCGAAGATAACACAGGCGGTGAGCCGCCATAAGCGCAATGACGGCGGCCCTAAAAATACTTCGAGGTCGCAAACCGCGTTTTTCCGGTTCCGCCTCCTCTACTATGGACTCCCCCATATTCATGCCTAATTTGATCCACGGCTGCTTCAAAGCCTCACGCGCGCTAAGGCGGCGGGTGGGGTCCGCGACGAGCAGCTTTGAGATAAAGTCACGCAGCCCTGTCGACGTATCCGCTATCTTTCCAGTTTTTAGGTTGCAACGCGCGCTACAAATTGCCTCTTTGATCTCCTTTTGGTTTCGCCCCGCAAACGGGTACTCCCCGGTGACCATAAGATACACCATCACGCCTAGCGCCCACATGTCCACCGGTCTGCCGTAGCTGGCCTCGCAAAATATCTCCGGCGCCATAAAGACGGTGGTGCCGCAGAAGGACATGAGGCATTGGTCCGACCACACAAGCACGGAAAAACCAAAGTCGGATATCTTACACACCAAATCGCCCCCCGAAAGCAGGCAGTTCTCCGGCTTCAGGTCGCGGTGGACAATCCCCTTTTGGTGTATAAACTCCAGCGCCAGCAGCAGCTGCGTCGTGATACGGCGCGTCTTTGTCTCACTAAAACTTCCATCGCGGAGAAGGGCGTGCCGCAGCTCTCCCCCTGGCATATACTCCATCACAATCCACAGATTTTCCTCGTCCTGAAACGTCTCTTCGAGCCGCACAATGTTAGGGTGAATGAGGAGGCTCATCGTCTCCACCTCCCCCATCACCCCTTTAAGCCCTTTCGAGCCCGCCTGCTTCTTGTTGATGATTTTCACACCGTACGGGCATCGCAGCGGGTCAAACCGACGGTGGCACTTCCAGACAGTCCCGTACGCCCCTTTTCCAATCTCCTCCACGAGTTCGTAGCGTTGATTAAACGAAACACACTTTGCCAAAGAAGAGCCCGAACGCGCCTCCGTCAGCGTCGACTGCAATGCCTGGAAATCCATTTTCTGCAGCCTTTCCTACGTGGCACCGCTCTCCCACACTCTCGCGCCCTGGATATATATATATATGTATATATATATGTATATACCAGTGTGTGTGTGTGTGTGTAGGTGCGTGTGTGTGTGTGGTGTGTGTGTATTTTTACCCGTGGAGAGGGAGACAGAGAGAAGGGGAAACCCCCTTCGTTATGTTCGGCGCGCCCAGTCTCCCCTTCTAACTGAGCCCCACCACGCCAGCGAACCACCTCGCGGGTGTAGCTTATAGGAAAGAGGGCACGCCACCATGAAACGCACACGTAGAAAGAGAGAGAGAGAGAGACGAGACGAGACGAAACGAGGCGAGAAATAACAGTGGCACGCACCCACCAACTCACACGCCATGCGGCGCCTGTCGTTCGGGCCGCAGCAAAAGGGAGGCAGTTGAGAAACGAGCAAAAGGGAAAAGAAGATACAAAAAAAAAAGAGTGGACAAAAGGAATAAATACGAAAAAGTTGCTCAGTGGAGTGGAGTGGGGTGGAGGGGGCGGGGCAAACATTTTGTGCCTTTCACAGCCAATCAGACCTCCCCCCGCCCATTCAGCCACACCTACAGACGACTCAAAGTCAGAAAAGGGCGAACAAACCACGTACGGGCAATCGAACAACAACGACGACGACAAGAATGGAAGGGAAAAAACAACAAGCACATGCAGCACCGTCTGCGTCAGTGGGTGTCGCGCCCGAATGGTGACGACATCTACGCGGCGTTGGTGACGGTGCCCCGCTCGCGCAGCTTGTCACAGAGCCAATCCATGCCCTCAATGAGCCCCTCGCCGGTCTTTGCGCTGCTCTTCACGATTGTCCAGGTGCGACTCGTCAGCGACGCGACCCCGAGCAGCTGCGCAACATCCGTCTCGCTCGCCGCGCCCACCATGTCCTGCTTGTTGGCGAAGATAAGCAGCAGGCTCTCCCGCAGCTCGTCCTCGTCTAGCAGGTTGTACAACTCGTGCTTGGCGACCCCCATGCGGTCCTTGTCGCTACTGTCCACAACGTAAATGATGGCGTCGGTGTCGGTGAAGTAGCAGCGCCAGAACGGCCGAATATTTGCCTGGCCGCCCAAATCCCACACCTCAAACGATATGTTCTTGTAGTTCACCGTCTCCAGGTTGAACCCCACCGTGGGAACGGTGGAGACAACGTTGCCTAACTGCAGACGGTACAAAATAGACGTCTTCCCTGCATTGTCGAGGCCTAAAATCAGTACACGAACTTTCTTGTCCGCAGGCACAATGCCCAACGCCGCCTTCAGCCGCGAGAGCCAAGCACCCATGACTGGCAAGGCCCTAAGCCGCGATTTCACAAAAATATGCTTGTGTTTGTTTTTTTGTTTTTTGTTTATTGCTTTCTTCGGTGTTCTCCTTCTGTTATCTCGCCCCCTTCTTGGCGTCAGCCCCCGCCCTCTCCCTTTTTTAATAGCTGCCGCTGCTTTCCCCTGCTCTCCTGCGCCTTCCCGTTCCCCCGTCACTCCTCGTCTTTTGTTTTTGTCTTTCCTCTTGCCTTCTTCTTTTTTTGTTTATTCTCCGCCACCTCAGTTTCCTCCCTGCCTCAAACTCCACGCACGACGAGATTGACGCCTCCTCAACTCCCGCGAAGGACGAAACGGAAAAAAAAAAGCGGAAAAACGACATGCATGCCAGCAGACAGGACGAAGCGCACAGCGCGCCCACTGTGCGGGACGGTGCAAACCACCGGCAGCCCGCAGGCACGCACACACACGCACGCACGGGGCAGCGGCACCACCCGCCGCCCCTCTGACAACGTCACAAGACGAGGAGAGCCACAGCAAGAAAATTCCTTCCACCGCCAGAAGTCGCAATATTTGCCCCGCCTACGACCGAAGGAGGTCCGACCAGACGGACATAAAGACGGACGCCAAGGAGGTGGTGGCGGGCGGCATGAGACGGTCGGCCGACGGGGCAGCAAGGTAGCGTGCGGCGCCAAGGTGGGCCCGCGGCGTTGCCTGCAGGTAGGACGGCCACGTCACATTATTGCCGGTGATCCTGAGCTGCAGCGTGCCGGGCCCGGCGTCCGTGGGCTGCCCCAAATGAAGCGACACTTTAGTCAGCGCCGTGCGGTACGCGGCGCAGCTGGCGCGCACGGCGGCGTCAAGGGCGCAGAGCGTCACCAGGCTGCTCGCTGGACCACTTTCTCTAAAAAACGTCGCGCTGCCGTCGCTGCTGCGGGATTCAACGAGGGACTTTTTGGCTTCCCAGGCGCTGAAGAGCCACGCCACTGCCTTGGAGGCGCCCTTCTCCTTCGCCATGGTGCTGAACTCACTCCACGAGCTCACCGAGAAGGTGACCGCGGGGTCGTAGAAGGACGACAAGTAGAGCACAATACGCAGCCCGGGCTCTGCCAAGACTTGGGACGTGGACGCATCATCCACCGCGAGGCTGTACCCCTTTTCAAGGAAGTGCACCACCGCCGACTGCTTCAGGCGCTGCAGACGCGCAGGGTCGTGACTGCCCAAGTACGTCAGCGCCGAGGCCAGGTTGGTTGAACTGGCCAGCGCGAGATACACCACAGTGTCGCCGGCAGACATGCCGGCGAGCACTGCATGGAGCGCCTCCGATGCGTTCATCTCCACTTTACATGACTTGGCGGGAAGGTGGTACGCCGCGCCGAAGCAACTCGTGACATCGGCACGGGAGTACGCCATCCCACGGCGCAGCGCATCGTGCGGTGTGGCGGGAAACCCCTGACTGTGGCCACACCCACCGCGCGACAGCGACGCGTCGTACGCGTCGGCCGCCGCCTGCACTGCCCCCACCGACACAGTGACGTCCGCCAGCTGCGCAAGGGAGAGAAAGCGGCAGAGATTGCGTGCCAGCGTCGCGGCGTGGCCCCACGTCACCCCGGAGACGGTGACAAGACTCAGCTGGCCGCGCAGTTTCGGGCTCTGGGCGATGCTTGTGAGCGCGGCGTAGTCCTCCACCGAGCCATCCACGTCCACAACGATGTGCTGCCGGGCCGCAGCCAAAAGCGGGAGAGAACCCAGCAGCAAAAACAGCAGCGACAACGGCGCCACCCTCATGACTCCCCCCGCCTAGCCCTGTACTGGCACGGCAGGTGAACGCGTCCAGCAAGCAGAAAATGTAACCGCAAGAAATCCTAAACAGAAAAGTCAAGGAGGAGAGAGGGAGAAGGGCAAGAAACGAATGCTGCATAAACCGTCTTCTCCCCAAAGAGACTGAAATGCGCCAGAACCAACTTTTTTTTTTACATACTACGTGTGTTTGCTTTTTGTGTGTGTGTGTGTGATTTTGCGTCTGTCGCCGCTCCAGATTGCTTCTTCTTCCTCCACGGAATCTCGCCCCCTTTCACTGAAGTGGGGGGCCGCAACAAAAAAAAAACGCAGCCCCCTCCCTCAAGCCCTTTCCCTCTTCACTCACTCCTCTTCATCGGCCAGGACGCACACCACGTTGTTTTCCATCTGGAAGCCGCAGCCCCAGCGCTGCGGGTGGATCAACTCCTCGTCCGTCGCGGGGCCGGCGGGGCTCAGCTGCCGGCAGTAGCGCAGCGCCTCCAGCGTGAACTCGCACTCCAGTGGCACCGGGTCATCTTCCAGCAGAAGGCCGTAATGCCGGCGGTCATCGTCTGAGAGCCACGCCTCTGCACTGAGGCGGCTAAACGCACGCAGGCTACTGCCGCTGGTGGAGGAGGCACTCTTCCGCTGCACCACCCCGCGACTAGCCCCCGTCACGTACGCGACGCCGCGGCCGGCGGCCCCCGCCGTCTCCACCCCGGCCCCTGCGGCACGTTCGTGGGTGAAGCGCAGCTCAAAGTGCTCGACGGGGCTCTCCTCGACGAGGTGCCGCACGAGGCCCAGCACAAGCTGCGGCAGCACAATGCACGGGGTCGCCACCAACGACCAGACAAGTCGGCGCCGGCCGCCCTCCGAGAGCAGCCCCACCTCGCACAGCCGCAGCGCAGGGGCGCTCCACGCACTGCCGGCGAAGCGCAGCGAGGAAACAAGTGTCACACTGACGTTTCGCATGAAACGCTCGGCGACGACGCCGTCGGGGGACGGCATCGCTGCCACCGCATCACTCACCTCGTGAGTCGGCGAGGTGGTGTGCAGCGGCAGGTTCACAAACACGTCCCAGAGGGCAAAGACGGGGTTGACCTCCGTCATTGTCAACCTCTCTGGCTCAGTCACCAACGCGGATCCCAACACCCACTCCAGCTCCACTCCCACATCCTGCGCACGCTGCGTAAAGTATTGCTGCGTCACCCTTGAAGAGGCACAGAGGCAAAGGCAAAGGCGAGCATGCTCAACGGCCAGCATCGCCATTAAATCCTTCAGCCGAGGGTGGTCTGTGAGGCGCACAAAGAACACGTGATGTGTGCACGCCTCTTGCGCGGACACGGAGCAGCAGCGATCACGCAGCTCAGTGAAGCGGTAAAAAACATCCTGTAGCGCTTGAAGGTACGCCCAGTAGTCCAACTCGGTGGTTGCCACGGCCGAGGCAAGCGTAGACGCCCCGGTGTGCCGGCGGGAAGCTTCTGCAGGATAAAGAAGAGGGTTACAGCTTGACTGCAGAGAAGTTAGGTAATACGTACTGCCATATTTTGTGACAGCATCCTGTATCAGTGCCTGCAGCTTCGGAAGCCTGTTGAGAAGTTCGGCGTCATTCAAATCTTCCGCGGCGCCCTCCCCGGGCGCGGCCACGTTCATCACCAGCTGCAGGCCTTGCATCATGGCGTAAAAGGGCACGCTGGGGTAAGTGCGCCACCCTCTGCTTCGCTGCACCGCTGGCGCTGAGGGCGCGGCTGGAGGCGCAATCGCGATGAAAGGCCGCCGCACGCCACCGTCGTCGTCGTCGACGTCCTGGCCGCTGCCCGTCGCGGTCGGTGTGGTGCCGCCCAACACACCGTGGCGAAACGCAGCGGACTTAAACGGGGGATGCGACGCCGCGGAGGGCATTGACACTACGCCGCCGCCACCGCACGGGTCCCCTACAGCCGCCACGCACACACACAGAAAGTGTTATATACAATGGAGACAGAGAGAAGTAAAAGCAGGCGCCACACAATTGAAAGGCAAGGCCCAACGAGAGCCGACGCAGCCACCAAAGCTGGACGGAAAATGAAAAGAAAAAAAAGAGGGAGGGAACAAAGACACAAATACAGACACAAAGGGGTCATCTCCTCTATGTAGTCGACGCCAGACACGGCCGCAGCCCCTCAGCCCCGCACCGGCTGCAGCGGTTTGCCCCGACTGTGCAGCCGCTCAAGCATGTCGTTAATCCTCGCGTCCAGGCAGCGCACCACGTCGCTGTCAACGTCCAGCGCACCCGCGCTGCCCTCCAGAATCGCCCGCCGCTCGCAACGCAGCCGCTCAATTTCTTTTGCAAGCGGCACGACCTCAGCGGCTGGCGCCTGCGGAGTCGCGTCGTCCAAGGCCTTTTGTTTCTTTGTTTTTCTGGAGTCCGCGACCTCCACCGCGGCGTCCCTCGTCGACTGCTGTCGAAGTTGGCCTTCTAAAGTGCTGTTCAACGACGTGAGCCGCGCCACTTCTTCAACGCCGCGTCGCATTTGTTCTTTGCGTTTGGTGGCCAACGCCGTTAGGCGCCTGTTTTCCTCCTCAAGCTCACGGCAACGCCGTGTCAGCTGCTCCTCACGCTCCGTGTGCCGCCGCTCAAGGCGATCCTGCAACGCCTGCTGCTCCACCGCGAACTCCGTGCGCAGCCGGGCCTCGATGTTGGCCGCCTTCTCAGACGGCCCCGCCAGCTCCCGTGTGCGGAAACGGTGAAACTCCTCCGAGAGGGCCAAGTAGTCGCGCTGCGCCTGCTGCAGCCGCTCCTCCGCCCGCTTCGTCTGCGCCTCGGAGGCCTGTATGCGCTGCTCCTGCAGCGCCACCGCGTGAGCGGCGTCCTCCTTCGCCCGCCTCACTTCCGCCTGCGCCTCGGCCTCCGCCCGCCGCCGCGCGTCCGCCAGCTGCTGACGGGCGTTTCGCAGGTCCTTCTCCATCTCCGCCAGCCGCCACTTTCGCTTCTCTACCTGCTTCTCCTCCTCCACCAGCCGCTGCTCTCTGCGCCCAATCTCGCGCTCCCGCAGCTCGCAGCTATCCGTCGCCTGCTGCTCCCGCGACTTGACAAACTTTGCCAGCGCTGCGAGAGCCTTCTTCTTCTGCTCCTCCAACTCTCGCCGCAGCCGCGCGGCCTGAATGGCCTTCCATAGCTCCACGTCCCACGCCGCACGGTACTCCACCGTTCCGCGGACGTCGGCCGCAACAATCGCCGCCGCCCTCCGCTCCTCGCGGGGGTCAGAAGCCGACGCGGTGGTGGCAGTCGCAGTCGCAGCGGCCGGGGCTGGCCTTGTGGAGGTGGCTGGGGTGCCGCCCGATACCACCGCGGAAGAGGGCGCCGGCTTGGAGGGGGTGGGCGTAGGCGACGACCTAGTGTACGTCTCACTCGCCGACGCACTCAACTCGCTCATTGTGCGGGCGGCAGGGCGGTGGCAGTCCAACGGCGCTCCTGGTGGACCGCTGGGCGTAGAAGTTCCGTCTCCGGTGCAGTGGGGGGAGGGGGGCGTCTACACCGCTCACGCAGTCTACTGCAGCTGCAACGTGGAGCGAGGGGTGGAGTGGTGGGGAAAAAAGAAGCAAAAAACAAGGGAAAGAAAATGACTGACACACGCACAACACGCCCAAGGAGGACGGCCCAGCGAATGTGCACTGCCAGCCCACGGCAGTTGTACTCGTCTGCTCCTCTTTGATGTTGCTGTTTTCTCCTGGGAAAGAAGGATTCAGGCCAGAGGGGAGGTAAAAAGGGCCGTTCCTGCGAAGGGAGCGGAGAGGGCGCAACGGCTGTTCTTGGGGGGGGGGCAAGTCTCCCCCTCAGTTTATCGCTCTGCACCCTCCTGCACTTACACCAGCCGCCACCCTCACCAGCGTCCCTCTCTCGTGGGCGGGTTCTCTCTCTCTTTTTGTTTTCTTTTTTCTTGTTTAATTCCGTTGCTGGTCCGTCCTGCCCCACACCTTATTCATTTCCTTTTGCCGTTCTTCCTTTGCTCATGTCTTCAATTCTTTGCCTCCCTCGGCTCATGACCCTATCTCTCTCTCTCTCCCTTCTTTTTAATTTTCATCCTTTTCCTTTTGTGCTTTCGTCCTTCCCTTCTTCTTCCTCCTCGCTATTACGTTACGTTACCAACAGTCAACTCCATGTATCGCGGCGGCGAAGGAAAAAAAAAAAAACCGGCGGGGGGAGGCGGGGTGCACCTCAACCGCCGCGGCCCTCCCGCCCTTCGCCGCACGTGGGCCCCTTCGCAGATCGCCTCAGGCAGCACCTCCGCCACCAGCGCAATCTCGCCGCAGTTGCCGCCCTCAACCGCCTCCTTGTCCCCCGTCGCCTTCCTTGGCGGCACGGGTTTCCTTTTTTTTTTTTGTGTTTAGTTTTTGCGTGCGGGTGCGTGGTCCGCTCAGGCCCCGTGCTGCAGCATGGCCTGCACGGCGGAAAGCATCGGACTGCCCTCGTAGATCTCCAGCAGCTTCTTCTCCGCCCACTCACGCAGCGCCACCGCCTCCTCCGTCGCCTGTTCACTGTCCGACCGCTTCGAAGCCGACCGCGCCTGCCGCACGACTTCGTTGGCGGTGACCCAGAGACCATACGCGGCCCTGCAGTTGTTTGCGTGGCTGTTAAGGCGCAGCGACTGCGCGTACTCAACGAGGCAGCGCTTGTGGTCGCCTACGATGTAGTACAGCTCCGCCAGTCGGGTGTGGGAGAGGTAGTTGTTGCCGTCGAACAGCATCGCCTCGTCGGCGTAGTGGAGAGACATGCGATAGTCCTCGCAGAGATAGTAGAGGTTGGAGAGCTCGCGGTAGGTGGCGAGGCTGTCGCCGCGGTGCACCTCCAGCAAGGTGTGCCTCTCGCCGTCCTCGTCGGTGTAAACCTGCTGCGTTTCTAGGAGCTCAATGGCCCTCTGGTACTTACCCTCGCTCTTCAGCATGGCGGAAAGGCGCAGGACGGAGAGCTGATCCGACGGGTTGTCCTTCAGGATGGCGCGGTACAGGCGCTCCGCCTCCGCCGCCTTGCCGTCCGCCTCCAAGCACAACCCCTCGAGATGCCGCACCCGCAGCGACTGCCTTCCGAACCACTTCTGCAGAACTGCAAGGTACTGCAGCGCCATGTCCACTCTGCCGCAGTCGAGGGCCGCAATAAGGACCTGCTCGTAGATGCAGGACAGCTCTGCGGACCCCATGCCACCGGTGCCGCCGGCAAGAAGATCCTTCCCTAGCAGAAGCACAACCTTCGCATTGCGAGACGGGTGCTCGCGGTGCTGCCGCAGAAGCTGACGCTTTTGTTCCCTCGAAAGCTGCTTGACGTCAAGCGGCGTCAGAGACTGCAGTGAGACAAGCGACTCGCTCATTTCCCTCCCTCCCTTTTCACTGATGCTGTCTCCCTGATTGCCCTATTTTCCTCTTCTTGCCCTTGCTGTTGTCACGCACAGCCTCTTATATATATATATATATATATATCTCCACCTTCTTCTTTTTTTCTGCTTTGTTTTGGCTTGCAGTGAGCGCTTCCTCCTTGGCTGTGCACGTGGACGTGAGTTGGGGCCGCAGACACACACACAGAGAGAGAGAGGGAGGGGCCGCGAGACCCTCCTCCTTTTTTTATACCTTACGAGGCTCGCAGCGCACCACTGCACTGCCGCAGGAGACGGGGGTGTGAGGGGAGGAGGTGAGGGCCGGCTGACGCAAAGAGAAGCACCCAGACGCAGCGGGAGGGAAAGGGACGGGGAAGGGGAGGGAGGGGGGCAGCCCACGCTGGTCTCCCGCAGCGGCGCAGCGCTTCAGGCGTGAGAGAGAGAAAGAAAAAAAATACGGCGCCGCAGTTATTTGGGAGTACAACACTTGCGCAGGCGCCTTTTTTGCCGCGACGATAAACACAGAATTAAGGCTGGCAGACGCGTAGGGGCGACCTGCACGATTTCCCACGCAGACGCCGCGGGGGGGGGGAAGAGGTGTGAGAGCGACAAACTTGCACTCCCTCCCTCC